TCTTGCTCTATCGCCAAACTGGAGTGTAGTGGTGTGATCTCAGCTCACTGCAACCTCTGCCACCCGGGTTCAAGCAATTCTCCTGCCTCAGCCTTCCGATAGCTGGGATTACAGGTGTGCACCACCACACCTGGCTATTTTTTGTATTTTTAGTAGAGACAGGGTTTCACCATGTTGACAAGGCCAGTCTCAAACTCCTGACCTCAAGCGATCTGACCACCTCAGCCTCCCAAAGTGCTAGGATTACAGGCATGAGACACCATGCCTGGTAGAAAAATTAATTAACTATTACTATTTTCTATACTAACTATGTTTTATGACTTCCTACAATTATATGAAATATGTGTCACAAACACTTACATCTATCCAAGCCAGCATTTAGAATTTTATATATATATATATATATTTTTTTTTTTTTTTTAAAGACGGGGTTTCACCGTGTTGGTCAGGCTGGTCTTGAACTCCCGACCTCGAGTGATAAGGCTGCCTCAGCCTCCCAGAGTGCTGGGATTACAGGCGTGAGCCACCGCGTCCGGCCTAGGAATTATATTTTTTAAAAGATTAAAGACAGCTCACTCTACTTTTGAGGATTTTTATCTACTTGGTCAATGGATATCAAGAACCTTCAAGTGACTAAAAACTCAAGAGAAGGAATAAAATATAGCACACTGCAATACGAATGAGAATGCTTGATTTTGGCCCAACTAGGATAGTTAGTTTACAAGGTGTTGTAAATATTTTGGAGCAATCTACACTGTGGAGTACTCAGATAAACAAAATGTATATAAATAATTGATTTATAGTAATTCTGTAATCCAAATGGATTGTCTTCTCAAAGAGAGATTTGAATGTCTAATTTCATATGTTTTCCTTCTCAAAGAGGAGACATTTAAAATATTCTATTTGTGGCCGGGCGCGGTGGCTCAAGCCTGTAATCCCAGCACTTTGGGAGGTCGAGGCGGGTGGATCACGAGGTCAAGAGATCCAGACCATCCTGGTCAACATGGTGAAACCCCATCTCTACTAAAACTACAAAAAATTAGCTGGGCATGGTGGCGTGTGTCTGTAGTCCCAGCTACTCAGGAGGCTGAGGCAGGAGAATTGCCTGAACCCAGGGGGCGGAGGTTGCGGTGAGCCGAGATTGTGCCATTGCACTCCAGCCTGGGTAACAAGAGCGAAACTCCATCTCAAAAATAAAAAAATAAAATAAAATAAAATAAAATATTCTATTTGTGAAGGCAAAGGTAAGTCAAAGAAACTACAATTGTGAGAGGAGTTTTTTTTAAAGGACCAGACTGGGGAAGAAGTCTGCACCGACTGCAGTGATCACAAATGGCTTCACTAAAGTGACAGGATTTGATATGTCTTGAAAGATGGTTATAATTTTAATATATGATAAAGAGACAGGTAATATTCCACAGATCATTCATGACGGACCATAACATCACAGCAATCGGGACTCGCCAATCTTTGATTCTTAGTCTTTGCTTTCTTTGGATTAAAATATACAAAGATGCTAATAGTCATGCTGAGGTAAATTATAAAACTTCTCTCCCTATTGCCCCTCTCCTTTCTTCACCCATGCAAATTTATATCCATTTAAATGGACATACATTGCATTTTTTAAAAAGGTTAAATTTATGTCACCAAACATTATAGGAAGTTCAACTTCCAATATGACAGCACAAGGAAATCCATGGAACTGCTCCCCAGTGAAACCGCTGAAAATTATTTTTAAAACAAACCTGTAAGGGATCTGGAAATGTCCCCAATGGCATACAGCAAGTGAAGTATCTATTCAAGAAAATCAATGATCTGATTTTAAAAAGTGAGAGTCAACATGAACTCTAGACGTCAGCTCAAGGCAGGGGGCAGGAACCTGGTGCCCAGGCAGACCCTGCGGAGGGCATGTTGATAACAGAGGGCCCGGACCCCAGCACACACCTTGCTCCACAACCTGAATCTCCTTCTTACTGGCTCCCAGTTCAGAGAACTCCTGAGCAAACCCCTCTCCTCCTCATTCACCACACTGGGGACCTACTTCTGTTATAGGGCAAAGGAAGGGGCACAATCACACATGAGGAGAACACAGGTCAGTCCTCTGGCCAACCAATTTCCAATGGGGGACAGCTTGTTGGAAGCCTGACTTGGCCTTTCTCTGAGGTGACCATATGGCTTGGTAAGGGCCTGCTCACTCTGCTTCCAAGACGGTGCCTTCTTTCTGTGTCGTCCAAAAGGCAGAAACACCGTCCTTACATGGCAGAAGGGATGGAGAAGCAAAAGAAACTCGCTAGTTCCCTCCTGTCCCCTTATAAGGTCGCTTATCCATTCATGAGGGCTCTGCTCTTACAATTTAATCACCTCCTCAAGGCACCACATTTTAATGCTGTTGCATTAGGGATTAAGTTTTAACATGAATTTTGGGCAGACAAACAGTCAAACCATAGCAGTCACCATTTGCCAAGCTGTCCTCATCACTGTCTTCCCCACTCCCATCCTAAGTGCGCTTCTGCCCCTGTGCTCCTCACCTCCGTGTCTTCCATCCAGGTGCTCATCCAGGCTCCTTCTCCCACAGCCCCAGACCCCAAATCTGTCCCCCAACATCCCTCTGCTGCCTTGCTTCACCTCATTACCTTCTGTAGCCTCTCAACTGCTCTGCCTACCTCCACCTTTGCTCCCTTTCTGATCCATGATCCTCAAAGCAGCAATTAAGATTTTTCTAAAATGCAAATATGGCCAGGCACAGTGGCTCACGCCTGTAATCCTAATGCTTTTGGGGCCAAAGTGGGCAGACCAGTGGAGGTCAGGAGTTCAAGACCAGCCTGGCCAACATGGTGAGACCCCTTCTCTACTAAAACTACAACAATTAGGTGGGCGTGGTGGCGGGCGCCTGTAATTCCAGCTACTTGGGAGGTTGAAGCAGGAGAATCGCTTGAACTTGGATGTGGAGGTTGCAGTGAGTCGTAATTGTGCCACTGCACTCCAGCCTGGGCAACAGAGTGAGACCTTGTCTCAAAAATAAATAAGTAAATAAATAAACTGCAAATCTGGTTATGTCTGCCTGCCTGCCTGCCTGTTTGTCTGTCTGTCTCTCTCTCACACACACACGCACTCATACACATCACACACACACACACACACACACACACACACACATCCTGAAGACCCTCTCCTTTGCCTTTCAGAGAAACATCCACATGGCTGGTAGTGGGTAAGCTTCCTTCCTGATCTGGCCCCTGCCAACCTATACAGCCTTCCCCTCTGCTCAAGGCACACCAAACTTGCTGTTTCCAAAATGGCCGTTGCCTGTCCCTGTGCCTGCCTGGATGCTGTCCCCTTTGCTGGTGGTGAAAGCCCTCCTTTTTCTGCTTAGTTAATGCCCTGGTCCTTTAAGACCCAAGCTCAGCTAAGAAAAAGGCTAAAAAATAAACAACAACAACAAAAAACAAAACAAAAAAGAACTAAGCTCAGCTATTGCCACCTCCAGAAAGCCTCCCCTGCTTCTCATCCGATGATTTTCATCTCTCTCATTGTGACATCTTGACAACACTAAGCCATCTCTTTCTTTACCACATTTATCACACTGCATTGTAAGTTTCCTGTTTTCCTTTTTCTTTCTTTTTTTTTTTTTTGAGACGGAGTCTTGCTCTGTAGCCCAGGCTGGAGTGCAGTAGTGGTGTGATCTCGGTTCACTGCAACCTCCGCCTCCCGGGTTCAAGCAGTTCTCCTGCCTCAGCCTCCTGAGTAGCTGAGATTACAGACGCATGCCACTATGCCCAGCTAATTTTTGTATTTTTAGTAGAGATGGGGTTTCACCATGTTGGCCAGGGTGGCCTTGAACTCCTGACCTTGTGATCCGCCCATCATGAGTATTCTTTTTTCTTAATTAAAAAAAGTTTTTGTTTTTTTAATTTGTCCAGCTTCCACGATAGTATGTTTACCTGTCTATCTCCAGTACCAAGCTCAGACCCCAGCACCTAGTAGATACTCAATAGATGTTTGCTGTGTGAGTGTTGAATGAATAGAATGTACTAGAGGCAGTGGCAGAAAGAGAAGTCAGGTCGTTATTATAGTGACCCAGGAGAGAGGTGCCAAGGATGGGGACCAAGGCTGGCGCAGCAGAGCTGTGGACACCCGTGGAGTTTATATAGACATTTCCTTGAAACTTGCAACATGGACATAGAGCAAAGGAAGAAAACTGTGTGGTTCGAGGCCCAATTTTTGGATAATTCAGGCAAATACCCCATGGTTAGTGGCTGCTCTGGCAGCTGCCCTGTGAACTGGGCAGAGGTGAGATTTTGTTGTGCAGACGGGGAAGTAACAGTGCAGCTAGCCACCAGGCAACACGCTGTCTCCCTCCTGGGCCCTCCAGGTTCTAGGGAGCACTGAGAGGTTTGTGTATCTGGAGATTTGGAGTCACACAGGGTTGGGAGGATGGTGGGGAATAAAGTATAAGAAATTTGAGATGAATCTGGAAAACATTATGCTAGGTGAAGTAAGCCAGATACCAAAGGACAAATGTTGTATGATTCCACTTATGTGAGGGACCTAGAGCAGTCAAATTCACAGAGGCAGCCAGAAAAATAGTTAGCAAGGACCAGGGGAAGAGGGGAATGGGGAGTTGATGTTTAATGGATACAGAATCTTTGATAGGGATGATGAAAAAGTTCTGGAGATGGCCGGCCATGGTGGCTCATGACTATAATCCCAGCACTTTGGGAGGCTGAGGTGGGCAGATCACTTGAGGTCAGGAGTTCAAGACCAGCCTGGCCAACATAGCGTAACCCTGTCTCCTCTAAAAATAAATAAATTAGCTGGGCATGATAGTGCATGCCTGTTATCGCAGCTACTTGTGAGGTCGAGGCAGGAGAACCGCTTGAACCTGGGAAGCGGAGGTTGCAGTGAGTCAAGATCACACCACTGCACTCCAGCCTGAGTGACAGAGCAAGAGTCTGAAGAGAAAGAGAGAGAGAGAGAGAGAGAGAGAGAGAGAGAGAGAAAGAAAGAAGAAAGAAAGAAAGAAAGAAAGAAAGAAAGAAAGAAAGAAAGAAAGAAAGAAGGAAGGAAGGAAAGAAACACAGAAAGAAAGAAACAAAGAAAGAAAGAAACAAAGAAAAGAAAAAAAAGAGAAGGGAGGGAGGGAGGGAAGGGGGAAGGAAAGAAGGAAGGAAGGAAGGAAGGAAGGACGGACGGAAGGAAGGAAGGGAGGCTTCTAACAAGCTGTCCCCCACTGGAAATTGGTCGGCCAGAGGACAGCCCTGTGCTCTCCTCATGTGTGATTGTGCCCCTTCCTTTGCCCCATAACAGAAGTAGCTTGCCAGTGTGGTGAATGAAGAGGAGAGAGGTTTGCTCAAGAGTTCTCTGAATTGGGAGCCAGTAAGGAGATTCAGGCTGTGGAGGAAGGTGTGTGCTGGGGTCTAGCCTATCCCAGCCTTGGGCCCTCTGTTATCAACATGCCCTCCGCAGGGTCTGCCTGGGCACCAGGTTCCTGCCTCTTACCTGGAGCTGACCTCTAGAGTTCAGGTCTAACCTAGGTTGCAGCTGGAGGTCTGCCTGCTGAGCCTTCACCAGCACAACGGTGGCTTATCATTAAGGCATCTTGGCCCCCAGACATAGAAGACAGTAAGTCTTACCTGGATCCATAAACCTCCACCCACTCCTGCTGGCCAAACCCTGTGACTTGGGACAAGGCTGGGCCATGCCCAGGGAGCGAAGCAGGGAAATTTCTAAGGGCTTGGAAGGAAAGAGTAGCGGGGCCGGGGGGATGTCAGGGACAATTCCAAGCCTTTGAGGAGCCATGAGTTTTCTGACTTCAGAGAAGCAAACTCCCCAGATGGAGTTTGTACCATCCTTATTCCCAACACAGGAGCCTCTGAGTTCCACAAACCTACATCATCAACAGGAGCACTCTCTGCCGCTTTAGAGCAAAGCTGGAAAGCTGGAGCTGGAACAGCAGAACTGGAAGGTACTTAGGAGAGTCCCAGGCCAGTGATACATCCATTTCCCCATGATGTGGTCACATCTAGCTAGTTAGGTCAGAGCAGGGGCCAGCCCCCATGTTCCTTAACTTCCAGCCCATTGCCTGTCCACATACCATCATTGCTGTTAGCGCTCCTATTTATACCTAAGGCTAGCTCTGCCGTCTTGTCACATGTCTGCATGATTTTCTTCCTGCAGGAGGTGCTCTGGTAAAACAAGGATAAAATGAATGCCAGGATGGTCTCCCTCGTGGTGGGCATCTTCTCTGTCCTCAACACCATCCAGTTCTTCATCTTTGACCTGAATCAGACTACACACATTGGCTCTGAGGACAAGTTCAGCATCTACACGGACTCAAAGTTGAAGCTAGTCACTTGGATCCTGTTCCACAGGGCTGAGATCAGCACTGCCCTCTCCCTCACCACCATCGTCATCAGCTGCTTCCTCCTTTATTGTATCTATAATAATATCTTCCAGGGGCTGCTGATCTATGCCATGTGGATCATCACTTATGAGTTCATCAACTTCTCCATAGTCCTGCTCCTCAACAATATCATCAAAGATGAGTTTAAGCAGCTGAGTCACTTGTACCTGATTTTCCAAATCTCACACATGCTCCTGCACTTTTTCTGTCTGCCCTTCATCTTCAAGCATGCGTACAGCCTTTACCAGGAGCTCCCAGCTGTGAAAAAGGCAGCCCGCCCCAGGTCCTCCTCCACCAGTGCAGTGAACTTAAGACTACCTGTCCCTTGGAGAATGTTGTACCAGAAGTGAAACTGACCCCTGCCGGGAAAGGTGGGAGCGAACGGTGCTCCTCAGCAACGGAACCCTCCCTGCCCCGCCAGTCTTCTGTTGATGCTGCTTGGTTTGTCAGGGCTTTTGAGTTTTATGCACTGTGGAATGATCCTTGGGAGAGGGCGGGTTGTGTGGATTAATTATTGTACAGATGTGTGGTGTGACTTGTTTTAGTAGTTAATGATATATGTGGCCTTGTGCTTACTTAGCTGTCTCACTGGTGTCTGTTTTTGCCTCTCACAGTCCCCTCTCTTGTGCAGTTCCTTAGTTTTTAGTTTTTCCTTTATGGGTTGACCCACAGATGCCCGTTCTGCTGAGTCCTTTGGAGCAGTATTGCCCAACAGAACTTCCTGTGCTGATGGAAATGTTCTCTATCTGTGCTGGCCACTAGCCATATGTGGCAACTGAGCACTTAGAATGTGACTATTACAAACCAATAATTTAACCAAATTTTAAATTTTATTCCATTTTGGCCAATTTCCGTTTCAATAACTATGTAGGGTTGGCTCAAGACTAGCCTATCAGCCCAGCACAGTGGTTCACGCCTGTAATCCCAGCACTTTGGGAGGCTGAGGTGGGTGGATCACTTGAGGACAGGAGTTCGAGACCAGCCTGGCCAGCAGGGTAAAACCCCGCCTCTACTAAAAATACAAAAATTAGCTGCACATGGCGGCGGGTGCCTGTAATCCCAGTTACTCGAGAGGCTGAAGCAGAAGAATCACCTGAACCCAGAAGGCGGAGGTTGCAGTGCGCTGAGATCACACCATTGCACTCCAGCCTGGCCAACAGAAGTGAAACTCTGTCTCAAAAAAGAAAAAAAACAACAAACAAACAAACAAACAAAAAACTACCCTATTGGAGAGCACAGCCTTCTGAAGATTCACTTTAGAAAAGACCCCACTGGGCAGGGCGCGGTGGCTCATGCCTATAATCCCAGCACTTTGGGAGGCTAAGGCGGGTAGATCACGAGGTCAAGAGATCGAGACCATCCTGGTCAACATGGTGAAACCCTGTCTCTACTAAAAATACAAAAATTAGCTGGGCATGGTGACGAGTGCCTGTAGTCCCAGCTACTCAGGAGGCTGAGGCAGGAGAATTGCTTGAACCCAGGAGGTGGAAATTGCGGTGAGCCAAGATCGGGCCATTGCACTCCAGCCTGGGTAACAAGAGCGAAACTCTGTCTCAAAAAAAAAAAGAAAAGAAAATACCCCATTGAAAAGACCCCTTTCCAGAGTCATGCCTCACCCTGCTTCCCTCATACTTTTCAGAAAGCAGTTCCTCATGTTGGTTCACAATAACATAGCAAGAAGAATCCCCATTTAAGAAAGTGCCAGAGGCTGGGCGTGGTGGCTCACGCCTTAATCCAGGCATTTTGGAGGCCAAGGTGGGCAGATCACCTGAGGTCGGGAGTTTGAGACCAGCCTGGCCAACATGGTGAAACCCCGTCTTTATTTAAAAAAGAAAAGAAAAGAAAAGAAAAGAAAAGAAAAGAAAAGAAAAGAAAAGAAAAGAAGAAAAGAAAAGAAAAAGTGCCAGGATTTCTCAGCTGAAGCACTATTGACATTCTGGACTGGATAATTCTGTCCTGTGGGGGGGCTCTCCTTTGCACTGTAGAATGTTTAGCAACATCCCTGATCTTTACCCACTATTCACTGGGAGCATCTGTCTGTCCCCCATGCTGTCACAACCAAAAATATCTCCAGGGGATTAAGCCCACCCATTCCCTCCTGGGCTGGTGGATTATCTAGGTTTCAAGTCAGATAGTAAAACAGGATTGGCTGGGTGAGGTGGCTCACACCTGGAATCCCAGCACTTTGGGAGGCCAAGGTGGATGGATCACTTAAGGTCAGGAGGTCGAGACCAGCCTGGCCAACACAGCGAAACCCTGCCTCTACTAAAAATACAAAACTTAGCTGGCTGTAGTGGCAGGTGCCTGTGGTCCCAGCTACTCGGAAAGCTGAGGCAGGAGAATTGCTTGAACCCAGGAAGTGGATCTTGCAGTGGGCCGAGATTGTACCACTACATTCCAGCTTGGGTGACAGAGCCAGACTCCATCTCAAAACAAAAACAAAAACACAGGCTCAACACTTTGAAAACCAAAAAGAACCCCAAAAGATATCTTCAGGCATTGTCAAATATCCCCTGGGGTGGGGTGGGGGTGGGGCAAAATTGCTCCTAGTTGAGAGACACTATTGAAAAGCAACACACCCCAGTGTTGAGAGCTGGCAGGCCATTACCTTGAACTAGGAACGCCACTTTTCCTGAGAGCTGTTCACATTCACCACTTGTGCAGTCTTCATCCTAATGCTCCCATTTTATGGTCTGATGAAACTGAGGCTCACTGGGCTTCGGTGATAAGATCAAAGTCACATAGTGGCAAAAGCAGGACTTGCATCTCATCATCTGACTTCATACATGAAAGTCTTACTTTGCTCCCTGATTCAGTTTTACTTTTACCAAGATAAAAAGGAAGCACCTCCTTTTAGGGTAGTTTCTTTTCCCTTGAAAAATGTTGGGAGTGAAGGCAAGAGATATGTTTGTTTGTTTGGGCCATACTCCTCCAAACTATTGAGCACAATGAGAGTAGTTCGCTTTTCCTGAACCCTCAGCGCCAGGTACTGTCCTACAATCCACTCAACTCTTTCCACCACCCTGATTTGAACCTGGGCCAGTTCCCCAAATGACCACAAGATGGCAGTCAGTAACAAGCTTTTGCTTAGCCCAAAGCCAGATGCTCTAAGGGTAGCTGATTTGGATTTACGGAGCTTCCAGCTAATGACTGGGAACTAATGTGTGTCTCTGCCCCAGTCTCACAAGGCATGTCTAGTCTGATTGTGACTTGCTAGTACCAGAAACGCAAAATAAAATATAAAACATGGGCAGACTTCTGGGTTCTGAACCATCCCGGTTCAGGTTGCTGGGGTGGGAGGTGGACTGGGCAACGCTGAGGAAACCTGCGTGTTGAAGAAGTGTAGGGAGAAGCAGAGATCCAAGAATCAGCTCAACCGAGAGTTACTTGAGTTGAGAAAGCTGAAGACGCTCAAATGCAAGGTTGTGCTATCCTCTCTACCAAGACTCTTCCAAAGCATGGTTGCCTCTGCCTTCACTTCCTGGTCTCCTGTTCTCTCTAGAACCCGTCCAGTTGGGTTTCACTTCCTCCACTCCCCTGGGACTGCTCTTGTCAAGGCCATCTCCACACTGCTCAAGCCGGTGGTCAGTTCTCCGCCTTTGCTCACCTGTCCTGCAGTGGCCTTCGACTGCTGATCCCTCTCTCCTGCCAACAGGTGTCTCTGGCAGCTCCTGTGCCTCTCTCTCCATCCCTCCCCTGCCGCACTGGCCCCTTCTGCTCCGTCTCCTTTGCTGACCTCTCCTCATCTTCCTTAGCTCCAAACATTGGAGTGCCCCCGGCTCAGTCCTTCTCTGTCTCCCTGGCTCCCAGCTCACCTGGTCCAGGCCCACCACTAAACCCCATAGGTATCTTCAGCCCGGACCTTCCCTCTAACCCTGGCTTTGCTTATGCAGTCGCTTCCTTGATGTGGTAGACAGCTCTAACGTGGTTCCCGAAGATCCATGCCAACTGATGTTCACATTCATTGCCTCTTCTGAGATGTGGGCAGGACCCAGTGAGCCTCTTCTAGCACAGGGAACATAGCAAAAGCAATGGGGTGTCCTTTCCAAGGTTAGGTTACAGAAAGACGATGGCATCAGTGCTGTGCGCCCTCTGAGGGAAGCTGGCTGCCATGTTGAGAATGTCCTTATGGAAAGGCTCATACCACCAAGATCAGAGGTTGCCAGCCAAGAGCCTGTGAGGAACGGAATCCTACCAACAGTCCCACGAGGGAGCTTGGAAACAGATCCTCCCCTACACAACTCTTTCTGTTGTTGTTTTTTAAATACAACACAGGGTCTCCCTATGCTGCCGAGGCTGGTCTTGAACTCCTGGCTTCAGGCAATTCTCCCACCTTGGCTTCCCAGAGTGCTGAGAGTATAGGCATAAGCCACCATACCCAGCCAGCATACGTTTTGGGGCGGCCACTGTTGTATGTAGAGACATGTTTGTAGAAATGTGACATGTACTAGTTACCTATTATTGCATAACAAATTACCCCAAAATTAGCGGCTTAAGACAGCACATTTATTTTGTCTTCGTTTTTGTAGTAAGGAGTCCAAAAACAACTTACCTCATTCCCTGACTCAGATTTTCTCAGGGTCTCACTCAGGATGTTTATTGCTTTTATTTTATTTTATTTATTTTTTTTTGAAGATGGGGTTTCACCATGTTGGTCAGGCTGATCTTGAACTCCTGACCTCAGGTGATCTGCCCGCCTTGGCCTTTGTCAACACTTTGTCTGCCCTGCCTCCCTCTGCTGCAGCCACGCTGGCCTCCTTTCGGTGACCCTAACACAGCCAGCACACTCCAGCCTCGGGACCTTTGCCCTCGCCATGCCTTCTGCCTGGAAGATTCTTACTCCAGCTATTCACCAGCTTCCTCTCTTGCTCAGAGGTCAGGGCAGAAATCCCAAGTCCTTACCTCCAAAGTGCTTGGATTACAGGTGTGAGCCACCACACCCGGCAGCGTTTATTTGCTTTTTAGAGACAAGGTTGCATCGTGTCACCCAGGCTGGAATGCAGTGATGCAATCCCAGCTCACTGCAGCCTTGAACTTCTACGCTCAAGCTAACCTCACCTCAGCCTCCTGAGTAGCTGGGAATACAGGCGTGCCACCACATCTAACTAATATAAACATTTTTTTTAAAGTTTTCTTAAAATTTAGGAGTGTAGCCAGGCGTGGTGGCTCTCACCTGTAATTCCAGCACTTTTCGAGGCCAAGGCAGGCAGATCACCTGAGGTCAGGAGTTCGAGACCAGACTGGCCAACATGGTGAAACTCCATCTCTACTAAAAATATAAAAATTACCTGGGCATGATAGTGGGTGCCTGTAATCCCAGTTACTCAGGAGGCTGAGGCAGGGGAATCACTTGAACCTGGGAGGTGAAGGTTGCGGTGAGCCAAGATTGCACCATTGCACCCCAGCCTGGGCAGCAAGAGCAAAACTGCATCTCAAAAAAAAAATTGAGGAGTGTATCCCAATCCACACTCCTGATTTTCTCTCATCACCTGCCCTAACTTTGCCCAGTCTTTGCCACCTCTACCCTTCCATTGCTCAAGTTAAAGACCCAGCAGGCATCCTTGGGTCCTCTCTTCCTCTCAGCCT